CGAGTTGGCGGGAGATGGAAGTTGAGCGAGCTGGGCTAGCTCCAGCGTTGCTGCGAGTCGGGCGGGCCCCATTCGGCGCGCGCTGCAGGGGTGGGATCCACGTCCCCGTTTCCTTTCACAGTTCTAGCGTCACTATCACCTCGGCGCCTTACCTCAGCAGTCCCCTCCGCTGATTCGGGGACGGCAAGGACGGAAAGCGGAGCGGTACGTACCCACTCTCATGAATGTCACTTACACGATCTCAACACCACACCTTCAAGGAATTCTAATCCAACTGATCGTTAGGTATCTGAGTATCTATGCCGTTTGCACATTGAGAACTCTCTCATAATTCTTACGCTCTATGTTGCAGTAGTCCTCAAAAAGACGTAATTTCATTCACTCCAGACCTTACCATGGCTGGCCGCGGAATATTTCTTAAAGCAGGAAGGAGGCAGGTGCCTGCCTGCTGAGCGCACCTTCTACTATCCATGGAAAAACCACCAACTTAAGGCGGGAGCCGAATCTACAACGATGGAAGGTATGGATCAGGAAGTGACGGGCTTCTCGTCTACACCTACCCCAAAGCCTTCCACCTGTTCCACATCCTCTCTCGGCCACACTTCTCCCTCTTCCACCAGAGGCACGTCACAAATTATTTTCCATTTCTCTTCTCGATCCCACCGCAGTCCTTTCTCTAGGGGACTCACTATTTCACATTCTTCTACCAGTATTTCGTTCAAAGGGCAAACGTTCCAAGGTTGTGGTTCTCTCTGTTCTTTCTTCTTTCTGCCGCCAAAATCTTCACGATCATTCAATTTCTGCTCACAGCTTCCAAAATCACACCTTCTACACCACGAATCAAATCAGGCTTCCCTCAAAGATGGCCATTATCGATACCCTTCCCGCTGTCAGTGTTTCAGTTCGCCTCAAGAAAGCCTACCGAGACGCTGACGAATACCCCGACCCTTATCCGTACCATGAGCATGAGAGATACATGGACGACTACGAGCAGTGTGCCCGCAACTACATTGAGAGTAAGGAAGGTACCGAGTTCGCAGTTCACGTCAATGTCTTGGACGATGCCACTATTGATCCCTGGATCCATCACGATGAAGGCTTGGTTTTCCTTCTCTTCCTCGACGGCCACTTCATGGGAAAGCGATTCTGCTACGATGATGACTTCAAACATGGAGGCTGGCACTTTGCCTTCAAAGGCAAGAGACATCCCAACCAGCATAGAACTGCCATGGTTGAGAGTAACTTCAAGTTCCAGACGATTACTGCAGGTAAATCCACCGCATCACTCGACTGCTAACAATATTCGATGCTGATCTTTCCACACAGTTGACCAAGACGCTACCGATGGCGAATGGAGGTGTGCCAAGGATCTTGGTACAATCGAGGTGCGCGTCAGACTTGCCAGATTCGCTGGTGGTCCACGCCGCAACAGATGGGTCAACTTGGAGAGACCGTTCCGCGAGCCGGAGTACAACAAGTGCGAGATATCCGAGGAAGCTATCAAGGGCCGACCTATCTACCATGGCACTTCGTGTGTAACAATTTTCTTCTGGGAATGTACCCATCATGCTAACCATGTCTTCGCAGCTTCACCCCGCCGGTGAACAAGAGTCTGCGACCTCCTAGATTTGCCCATCGAGCAGCGATGGAGCGAATTCGCACTGGCCCCCTCTTCGCGACCTACACATTCAAGTATCGCTCGCGAGGTATGTGTCTATGTGTAACAGGTGTGTCTTTGGATTGAAAAAGGCTGACTATCATAAAGATGCGCTGAAAATTGAGGAGATCCTTCACCAGACCCCCAGCCCTGAGCCCGCCCCGGCGCCTTTCTTCCGTCAGAAACCGGCCTACTTGGGAAATTCGAGCCTTCCTAGATTCGAGGACCTTCATGAAGATGAGGTCGAGCGTCTTGCTAGAGAGAGACACCAACAGCTCCAAGTAGGGTGATGATTGACTTTAAAAGGGTTCATAGACTGACACCCCCATCAGGATGAGCAAGCGCAATCTTCAGCTCAGAAGAACAAGCGGAGCTATGACGACTTCTGTGATTTTACAGATGGCGCTGGTGAGCAGTTGGCCCGTCCTTACAAGATCATCAAGCTGGGAAATGGCCATGACGCTATTGATCTCACGGGCGGCTACTAGAGATGTAGGCCAGGAGATCGTGCGTTTGTTGTAAAGACGGAATTATCACAGGATGGAGGTCACTGGAAGAGTCTTATTCGTCAAACAAAGCCTTTGTTGGGGTGGTAAATTCACAGGCCGAAGTTCACTGTACTGAATGGAAGGCCCCAAATGAAGACATTTCGGACGAGGGGGATTGTTTGGTTGAAAGGAAGTCGACATTGCTTTGATAGAAGACTTGGTTCGAGGGATCAGGTGGAAGAGCAGTAGGACTCACGTCCATCAGAAAGCTAACTCCCGAACCACCGTGAGTTGTGTTAAATACAAAAGTTCTCAAGTATGCAGGTGTTTTGTTGTTGTTCTATGTGACTTCGGGTGCGAAGTTAACCACAACGGGGAGTCGAATACTGAAGAGTCTCTTCTCACCTTCGCGAGAGAGGTGCTATTAAACGCAGTGAGCCGAATTCCTGGTACTATTACTATAGATCTCTGCACTGATGGCTCCTTCACCATGCGGTGGCTCGGTCAGGCCTCGTCCCCTGCCCCAAGGCAATTAGACATGACCCAAAGCCAGTCCGCGAATTTTTGACCCTACAGATGCCCAACGACTCGAAGAATGAAAGGCAGAAGGGATTTCTGGATTCCCCTCTACAGTAAGGTACACCCAGGGCCTTTCTGGCTAATTTGAATACTGGACTGCTGCAAATCGAACGTTTTCAGCCACAACCCTGCCTTGTTCGTCGATCTCAAGCTCGGTTGAGTTGCAGAAGTACGACCACACCGACAAGCCACGAGAATACTTCTCGTTCAGCAAGCTAGAGCGATGGCAGGTTTCGACTTCAACATCAACATGCGAGTGGTGATTACCGTCGCTGGTGCTCCAGCCCCGGAACGAAATGACGTTACAGCAGAGAGCCTCGAAAACAGCGCCCCATTCAGCTGCAGCAAAGTCATCGCTGTCAAGGAGGGAGCGAGATTTTCGATTCTGGCTTCTCCTGGCGCAGGAATTTGTCGACTCCTTGCCAAGGATGAGGGGCTGATGGTGCTGATTCACTTTGACGACAATGAGGTTCTTCGGCGGTTGTATACGAAGACCGTAATCGATGCCCGGGCATCGCGCCGATTCCCCATGGAGTTCTTTGGAGTAACAGGAGTGAACAGTAAAGGCCGCCAGGTCTTGCAGCCTTTCAAGTTTGCCGCGGCCAAGAACGACGGCAGCGCGATTCGAGGTACCATTCGCGTTGATTTATACATCGTCAAGCTACTTGGTGCACCGGAGAGGCAGCGACTCGACGACACTACTGCATATGGGTCATCAGTTCAGACCAAACGGTAAGTTGCAAGCACGGCCTTCTCATACATGCCAAAAACGTTCGATAACAGCGGAATCCAGCTTGGGATCTGGGAAGAAGGTCAAGAAAGCCCTGGCGGCAGACACATACGACGTGAAGCGGCTCAACTACGAGCGTCCTATCGCCCGGTTCAACTTCAGATATGGACCAAGAGGTCTGTAAATTTCCTGATCGAGTTCATCTTTCCCCAAGACTGACATTGCTCAGGAGACTTGCCCGTACACAGACCCAAGGACAATAATGAGAGCAATCGCGGTGAGGGCTTGATCAACATGTCCAAGAAACCAGCCCTTTCAAAGCAGGATCGAGGCGGATTCAGAGGCTCTGACGCCAAGACACCCTCCTATTCATTGCCTGCGAAGCTTCGTGGTCTGCCGGAAGCTTCTGCACAGACACAGACAACCGCTGGTGCGAAACCTGCCTCGACAACTACTACATTACCCAAAAAGGGAGATAAGCTTGACTCTCAACTGAACGAACGAGTCATTCCGATCCGGCCCAAGCTTCCAGAGCCCATCGCGAAGGAGCAGAAGCTTCGGGGAGAGATACCGGATGACGAGGCCGTCTCGATTCAAGAGACTCGGTCGAAACACGCTCAACTCAACAGAAAGAGGTCTGCTGCGGTGGCTTTCGGCCACAACTCACCTTCTAGACCCAAGAAGTTTCTTGCTACTTCTACATACTGAGGATTAGAGGTCATGGCTCGGATCAGAAAAGCTGCTAGACGCGGGGTGAAAGTTCCTCGGCATCGAAGTGGGAAAGGAGTGGTCTGAATGAGAGATCAATGTTTACGAGCGGACTCCTACGAGCCTGCCGCTCGCTGAGGAAGAGAGACTCAGATAGATACAACGGCTGTACTTGTAACTCATGCGATCTTACTAAAGGAAACAAGGTTGACTTTGAACGGCCAAGTAGGTAGATTCCGTGTGCAAGATTGGCATCTCTAGCAAAGAGATACGAGCTGTTTCCACTCATCTTGACACTTTCTGTGATGAAATCTTGTGCGATGGGTGTAAAATGAAGTTGAAATGTGGCGTGATGAGAAATGAGAAGCCGTGCGCCTACTTGTCTCGGTGACACCTACGTCCAGTAATGTAATCCGGTAATACCTGGCTGGCAAGAAGCCTCCTAAGAGAGGCTTCTGTAGAGTGGAATAATTCCTTGGTAACCTATGCGCTCTCGGGCTCAAATTCGTTACACCAGCCATGTAAAACCGCGTCTAGGAATTGTCATTGAGACATGCGGTCTGCTTATACATATTCCTCGAGGCGCGTCTTCTGCTTATCCCGTCATTGTGCTGAAAAGTAGCGGTACATCCACACGCTTATGAACACCCGAATGAACAGTGAGATATGATATGAAGAAACTGTTTTTCCTTGTTATTCTGCGTCTACCATTGCAAATACGACTTGATTATCCCTTCGCCCCTTTCTAACGTATATCGTCGAAAGGCCATCCGAATGAATCACTGGCCGACATGGCCTTCTCTGCTCAAGTATGAGGAATGTACCCGTCACAATCCTCTCAATCATCGCTGAGATCAATCGTTCCATCTGCGTCTATCTTGTAGATCTTGCACGGACGGGAGTCGGTCTCCTCGTCTGCTTCCCGCTTCACGCCGGTTCCAGGCTCTCTCTTGACTTGAGGCTGATTAAATTGTCAGTTTGACATAACCTTGAATATGAAATCACTTACTTCCAGCTGCTCCAAACGCTCTTGGGCAAGCCTCATAATATCAGCTAGCGGCAAGTTTGCCACGGTCTGGGGCGGGTGTGCAGGAGAGGGATCAGGAGAGGGGACCGGAGAAGAATCTCGAGGAATGATGCCGTCGATTTGAAGAGAAGCCTTAGGCTTGTATCGAAAAAAGAATCGGGCGATTCTCTGGGATTTGTCCCTGTGCTTGAAGATTCTCATTGTCTTCCTTGGATCAACCTCGATTCCTTCAGTGAAGCTGATGACCACACAGTTAGCAGTATGATCAGATGAAGGTGTTGGGCTTCTTACGATGTACTGTGTGATATGTTTTTGCCTTTGATTGCAATTTCAGAGACATTCCTTATGCTCTCTGTCCTCGATTGTGCCGGGGTTCTGGGTTTGTGGCCTTCAAGCTCGACACGGAACACCGTCACTTCGATGATGCCGAGATGTTCCGCAATGGTTTCATCTCCTGATAGCTGTTCGTTGCTCCCTTCGACTGCGTTACCAAAGTCAGCGGCTCAAGATCGATGAAAAGAGACGGCGAAGAAAAACCTGTTTTGATGGAAGCGAAGTTGAAGTGCCTTCTAATCTCCTTGCCAGGTTTGCTGGATCTGTCCCAAAACCCGCTGATGGTTGAGACGATGATTTGATTGACCAGATTATCAGGTCCGAGGTAATATGTGGACACGTTTTGACCGTCAATGTGAAGCTTCAACGCGAGCCAGTTCTTGTCATTGATCCAATTCGGACGGTTCCGAATCTCAAAGTGGATAGAAAATCTGGCATCGACCTGACTTTCGATGACTTTGGAAGTGGTATGAGTTGCCGAGCCCCGATATGACGTGGATTTCGGAGGATCTGGATCGTCGTACTCGATGCAGTCTTCCTCGAATCCGTTGATTCGGATGGAGACCTTGATCTCTGGGAGGCCATCAATCACCGCCATGGTCCCTCCGAGTCGTGGTCGTGGGATGGCGTTTCGAGAGTGAGTAAGGCCTCTGGAGTTAAGCGATCCACATACAGAAGTTAGTGAGTTCAGATAAGTCTGAGCTTCTGGGCGAGGAAGAAGAAGTATGGGTATCTAGAGGAAGGAGAATTATGGGTAGAGGGAGGAGATTAAAACAGATGAGAAGGGTATAAGGAAGGAGGAGGGTGGAATTACGGGGCGAGGAGTCCAGTCCATAAAATGGAAGGTGCGTTGGAGGGCAAGCAGCAAGCCCGCTGAAGCAGTAGGCACCTGCGTCGAGAAGAAGCCAGTATGGGCTTCTCAAGACAGCCGAATTCGACCGTGATTCCTAAAAACAAGTGCCCCACGGATTTTAATTTCTCGTGACTCAAAACAAGAATCTCTCGGATGCGACCATTCCAGTGCGTGGTCGCTTTGCAAGGCCATGCATCCAGAGGACACCTAAGTGAACCATGGGTACCCTCCTCGCATTGGATCCTTCGCATGAGCCGAAGTCCTTAACCTCAATTGTGAACAAGTCAAGGGTAAACAAGAGTAGTACCCTGACCATGGTCAAGGGTCATTCTGCATACCAGTGTGCATCAATAAGAACTTGAAATTTACAAAATACCCTTAAGACCGTCTAGAGAGATCTAAAAAGAGTTCACCACCGGTGTGGCTACATCTCTTGGTGCTCATGCTGGGATTCGAACTCGTAGCCTGTCGTCGCGTAGGCTGTGGGCGTTTTCATTGTTGAATCCTTAACCTCTCCACCACCCAGCCAGTTTGACCTGACCCGTCGACCTAGACGAGCGCCTGCTGGCTGGTGCTGGCTGGTGACAGGAAGGGGATTGACGGTGTCTATATGGCCTTCTCGCATGCTCTAGAAGGCCTTGTAGAAGGCCTTGACTCCTTGACCAGACCCCGCGGTCTTTGGTCTACCTCACTCAAGACCTCGACCACTTATTACTCGGACATTCGCTTGATTTCTCGCATCTTGTCATCTCTATACTCGTTTCCGCCGAAGTTCCGGTATTGAAGATACAGACTATGTCGTCCGGGGAGCCCTGTTCGCCGCACAATGCTTTACGGCCTTGACACGAGATGATAGGGGTCACATTCTGCTCTAAATTTCCCTAATCTATCTACTCAAGAGCTTGCTAGCATACGTTATGACGATCTTTTGTATTTAAGTACATTTTTGAAAACTACTAAGATTATCACTTGTCGTTTAATCGATTGATTATGATACCCTCTCGAAAGTGGATTGTACAGTGTAGAAAGTAAAAAGCAATCATAATAGTAGTAATAATAGCAAAAAATAGGAGCAGGAGCAGGAGCAGGAGCAGTGACGGGAATAGGAGAAATGAAGGTGAGATATTGAGCGGCAAGCTATTGTGTCACGCCCAGTTGGTACTTTCCTTGATGATGGGCCGGTGGCTTGCCCGAGTCCACTCTTGGCCGTTGGTGCAGGGGGATCTACCCGCTGGCGTGCCCCAGAGTTTTTTTGAGCGAGGTTTTATACCAGACTACGGCCCATATGGTTCATCAATGGAGGAATGCGGGAAGGGCCCGTCTGCCAACCGTAAAGACGTCGATGTCTTCTTTTCGTCCCTAACTTAGAGCAAATTAAGGCGGGCGGCCTGTTTCGGCTTGGCAGTATCTGTAGGCACTTATCGACGAAGCTTTGGCGAATGAACATGATGTATCGATAAAGTGCCAGCTGCTTCACTTACAGTTGGCAGCATGGTACCCCACTTCTGCCTGAACAATGAAGAACAGCCAATCAGGTAGCGAGCGCACATCAATGTTAGGCAACCCCCACCCAATAATTGCCTTTTCAGTCGCGTTCGCACCTTCTTCCTCCCCATCTTCACGTGGGTCTAAACGTCTCATTCCAAATTGACTACATTCCACTTTTCTCTCATCACCGCGCATACGCCTTACCTTATTTCAACGACGGAACGAACGACTTGGACCACCACTTTCTTTTCTGTCAGCGGGTCATTCAAGTGGACTAGCGAGACTGTGACGCAAGATGGCCGTCATCGACGAGCTCAAGGGTGTGAAAGTCACCATCCAAGTCAATGGCCAGGAAGCTGTTGAGTACGACGACCCGGATGGCTTTGAGAACGACGTCAACCGCAAGCACGCAACCCACCGTATCTTCAAATACATTGAGTCCAAGGATGACACCTGCTTCACGGTAAAGTACGAGGTTAATCACATGCACCGGTGGGAGAGCCCGAAAAGCGCCTTCTCACTCTACTTATATGTCGATGGCAAGCGCATGGATAGTGTCGTTTGCGAGGCGAGTCGCTTCAACTCATTCGATCCATTCTACAAATGGAGCACAGTTGTTGAGGGTTCTCGAGGAAGCTCAAGAGACCCCTCTTACGATCGTCTGAGCAAATTCAAGTTCTCCCAAGTCACTACTGGTAAAGTTGTCATATCTTGGCGGCGCCATGGGTATGTGTTCTGAGTATTGACATGCGTCTCAGTTGACGATGCCACCAAGGAGCGCGTCGAGGGAGACTCCAAGAAAGCAAAGTCTCTCGGCGTCATCGAGATCTTTGTCTACCCCTTGACCATTACAGGGCCTTCGTACTCGTCAGGCCATGAGCACTATCGCGATAATCAGAATTCCAGTTTCAACATTGCGGAAAAGGCGCTCAAGGGCCGCGCAGTCTCTCACGGTACCTCGTGAGTTGCATCCTCTCGCCATGCGACAATTCTGCCTGTGCTTACATGCTCCATAGCTTCACTGACGGTGGATTTGTTTCCAAGAGGAAGTCAGTGTGCGCCGACTATCTCAACGGCGGTAATCCTATGGCGTGCTTCATGTTCAAATACCGTTCCAGAGGTATGAGGCGATCTGCAAGCCGGCTCTCTGCTTACTTAGCTCACGCTTTCTCAGATGCATTGCAAAAGGAGCTCATCATTCCTCGGTCTCCAAGTCCCGAGGCCATTGACGAGCTTTCCGAGGCCGATATCAGACGGCTAGCTGCGGAGCGTCTGGACGAGATTAACGTGAGTTTCAGCCTTACCGCTGTGTAGAGAACCCAAGACTAAACTAGGGCAGAATGGACGTCGATCTGGCACCGTCAAGCTAGAGAGAAAGGGCCCTACCATCAAACGCGAGTTTGCCGAGATCTACGACCTCACCGAGGAGCCTGCCAAACGCGAATGGAAGAAGATCAAGATCGACGCCAACAGGGAGGCTATTGACCTCACCGACGACTAGGCGTATGAGTTTCTTTCTTGAATGTACTCCCTTGGTACTTGTTCTTCGCCAGTCCGCAGAGAACGATGTCACGAGTATGACCCTCAATTTTCGGCGCAACTTTGCTTTCAGGGCCAAATGGCGTATTTCGGTTTGTATCAAGCCAAGCTTCAGGGACCTTATGATTTTCCCAGCCGCAGTCAGGAAGCATGGGAGTATCTTCAGACTGGAAAGTTGAGAATGCCAGTCTCTCCATGGTTCTAATGCGAGCAGCTTATCGTTTCTTTCATCAGGAGTTCAGGGGCAAAGCGCCAGTTTATACCCTCTTGTTGCACTTTATCCCCCTCGATAGGCAGTCAGTTCGGAAAAGGGAAATCAAACGCAAATTTGCTTATACAAAACAGCAAAATAAGAATTGATTGCTTTTCCAGTCTGCCAAGCTCCTTCTTCTGCCTTTGTGTCCGTGACATACCGACATTTTCTATCCGTTTTCCTCCTATCCCATGACCACATCTTCATCTTCCTGAACGTCCATGCTCTCTTTCTTTGCTGCAGTCTTCTCCGCCTTGAGTATTCTTACCGCCGCCTCCGCGGCTTTAACCTTGACCTCGTCTCTAGAAATCCCACCGTCAACCTCGACAACGCACCGCTCGCCAACCATGACCTTGCACGAGAACCGCTTCTCACCATCTTCGACATCCTGCACGTCCAAAACGTACGTCACAGTCTTATTGTCCGCCAAATGACCCAACTCCTCCTTGGGATGCAACACATGCACGCCGTCTCTTAAAATGCGATCAAGGTACGCCAAGATCCCAAACCGCTCCACGACACCAGCGCAGACGTCCAGGTCCCCGGAGTCGACGTACACGGCGCCGAGAAGGGACTCGAATATATCAGAGTAGAACTTGCGCAGCTGCATGCGCGCCATGAGGGCCCAGGGGTACGTCGTGCCGCGCTCCATCGCCTCGACCATCTCGTCCCTGAGCGCGGCGTGCCGTTTCGTGACGTTGAGCTGCTCGAGGCCAATGGCGGGGGATTGGTGGCGCATAAACTTCCACAGGGGCAGCGCGAAGCGCGTGTGTTGCAGCTCGGGTCTCTTGTTGCCGCCGTCGGTCCCTGTTATGACGACCTCGTCCTGGATGACTGCTTGCTCTAGAGCAAGGAAGCCGAGAAAGTCGCCGTTGACCATTGCTGTCTTGAGGAGATGCATCGTCTGATGTGGGAGAGGAGGTTCGATGGAGAAGAGGCGGTTGACGATGATGTAGTCGAGGACGGAGTCGCCGATGAACTCGAGACGTTCCAGACAGCCCAGGGTGTTGCCGAGGCTGAAGGAGGCATGGGTCATGGACTGGATCAGCAGGGCCTTCTTTTTAAACTCGTAGCCTATGAGCTGCTCCAAGGGCTCAAGGGTAGACGGGAGTTGCACGCCAGAGGGAGCGACGTCGTAAAGGGCCTGTCTGCAGTCGTCTAGGGTCTTCCATTTGATCTGCTGGAGAAAGATAGACATGCACTTTAGTGCTTTGGGGAGACCGCCGTCAATCATCGAGGCCCCGATCAGTGCTTCGACGATATCTGCGAGCGTTTTGGTGGATATTTTCCTCGTGGTAGGCTCCTCGCCGTGCTGGAGCACGTCCTCCACGTAGATTGGCCGCCACTTCTGTCCCGTGAAGGGCTTGGTGAGGATGAATCTGTCGAGACCGTGCTTGATGGCCGCCTTGCAGAGGGTCGAATTTGCGACGATGGCGTCTTTCTTAAACGACAGGAGCCGTTCTGG